AAATGTTTTGAAAATACAACCGAATTGAGCATTAGCATTTGTTTTCTTATATACTCTGCATTTACACGTTCAAAAAATTGCTTTCAAACTGCTACCACGTATGAGTTGTCACAAGCATGAGTTCTTTTAGTTTTTCTAATATTTATACGCGAAGGGATTTTTTGTCCAGGTCATCAGATCTGCACTGTTTGTTTGATTTTCAAAAACGTAGATGTGCAATAAGGTTTAATTTTTTCGAAAAGGGCTGCCAGCTGTTATTATTTAATAATAAATGCCGCCAGCTCCGCACCGTTCCATAGACTTAAAAAAAATTTGGTTTCAAATTATTGGCCTTAGGCTAAAGAGTTGCAACCATACTTTACTTTTTCGAAGAGAGTTGCCAAATGTTAAAAAATTTAATTCAAATTACTTGAAAAAATTAATTAATTATTACAAAATGCGTGACAATGGAAATGGTTTTGAAAAATTTTTTCTGAACCTAACTATAGGAGGGTTGCCACCTGTTTAAAAAATAAAATTCAATTTGAATTAAGGGAATTAGGTAATATAAATATGCATTACCATATGTATGCCAGACGAAAGGGTTTTATAATATAGTATTGTGAAAACACTTTGAAGAGGGTTGCCACCTGTTTTAAAAGTTTAACAATTTACAAAAGTTATATAAAACTTTAAAATATGGGTGTCAAACGAGAGGGTGTGAAAAAATCTTCAGTTTGAACATTTGAAGTGTTTGAAGAGCGGGTTGTCACGTGTATAAAAAGTCACATTGAAATTATTTCTTAAGTTAGATGAATTTTTTAAAGATGGATGTTAATCACAATCTGTTTTCTAAGGCTTTATTTCTGAATTATATTTACTGGGGTTGCCACATGTTAAAAAAAAAAAACAAGTTGAACTCAATGTATCTGTTAATTAAAATATGCATCGCATTGTTAGACGAAGGTGAGTTAACAAGGTTTTAGCTTAAAAATACTTTTGAAGAGGTGTTTGAAAATTTTAGATTAATTAAGTTAGACACAAGTTATATGAAGTATGAAAATACGGGCGTCCAAACGAAAGAGTCTTTAGAAATACTTTAAACATTCGGAATATTTAAAGAGAGTTGCCACGTATTTAAAAAGTGAAATTAAAGTTATGTAACAAAGTGGGCTAATAATTAAAAGATGGCTATCAAGAAAAATGGGTTTAAAAAGCTTCATTTCTGATATATACTTAGAAAGGCTGCCGCCTGTTTGAAAAGTCGAACTTAGTTAACTAATACGCAGGTTATTGAAATATTAAAAAATGCGTGTCAAGCGAAAGAGTGTTTAAGAAATGTTTAGTCTGACCATTTAGAATATTTTTGAGGGGTTTCAAAAGGGTTGCAACGTATTTACATAAAAATTATTGGCCAAGTTAAATTGACTATTAAAAGATCGGTATCAATCAAAAAAAGTGTTTAATTTTCTGAACTACATTTAAATTGGTTGACACATGTTTAAAAAGTCAAATTGAACCCAATTCATCAGTTTATTGAAATATTTATCACAAAAAAAATCACACGAAATAGATGTAAGATGATATCAGCTTGAAAATACTTTTAAGTCATTAGTTGCACGGATTTAGATAAAATATGGCACTTAGATCGCTTATAACTCTGACTAGTATTTGAAGTATTTTTTAGGTTTTTGAAATTAAATTTTGGCCGTTTTACGCCATACGGTTTCGTTAGTTTTATCAAATACACAATTTTCTACAAACAAAAACTCACTTCCCAAAGCTATAATCGATCAGCTTTTGAAATGTAACGTTTCACTTTCGTGCTTTTTATTCACTTATTATTCATTTAATCCACAGGTTTCTGCTCTGTTTGGTTTTTGTCCTCCGCACAGCCATCATAATAATAGAGGAATTCGCTCTTCAGTGTATTCGTTGTATGTTGTGTAATTGTAACTGCATGAAATTTGTTGTTGCTAGCGGCACATCAAATACACATACAACAACAACCACACGCTCGATCAGTTACACTTACGCTGGATACAGCGAATACACAGAAGCGCGAATACCACTAGCGTAAATACGCGGCTGAAAGTCGGTACACCAAAGTATGCATAACAACGTTCTCGCTTAAAAACAAAGAGGAAAAGGATAGTTTACAACGATATTACAGCAGTTTTTTTTAGAAAGACTGTCCATGAAGTAATGAATATTCTAGTTATATAAATTTACACCAGCAAATATTTCTTGATATTCTTTGCTCAAAGTGTTTGATGGTAAAAAATCTACCCAAAGGGCAGAAATCGCAACTTTTAAAATAAGTGGTTTAATATAAAACAGCATCGCTGACAAATTAACGCAAACTGTACAAAAGCTATGTCAGAATTGGAACATAAAAAACGAACCTCTTTAAGTAGAATTCTAACCAAAGGCCAAATGGGCGTTAAACGCTTAAAATGTCTAAGTTTATTTTTTCAATAAAAAAATGTTTTACGTCAATTGAATTACTCCCAAAGGCGTATATATTTTTAACAAATGTTTTTTTTTTTTTTTCATTTAAAAGTTGGAAATAGTAACCTTAAATTTTGGTATGAATGATTAACAAACTCCAACACTGTAAAACATATTATTTGGTATTTTAATTTATATGCGAATTTCATAGTCCCAAAAATCCAGAAGTAGTCCTGGAAATGCCGAAGTAGTCCCGAAGATACGCATATAGTCTCGAAAATTCCAAAAGTCCCGAAAATCCCGAGATAGTCCCAAAATCCCGAAATATAATAATTAATTACTAACTTGGTAAGCACCATTTTTCATAGAACTGGAAGTCGGAAAATACTTGAAAATCGTATTTGGGTTGCATAAAAAACTATTATTTAGTTGAAAAATCAAACAAACGAAACAAATTAATACGCTATACAAATCAAATCAAAAAATAAATTTTATTTCTTATTTGGTTGACCAATGACATCACAAATAAAAATAATTTTTTATTCAACATGGCACAAGAAAAATCTGAAATGTGCTAGTGTTCTACGCAAAAATCTGAAATGTGCTAGTCTTCCTCGAAAAAATCTGAAATGTGCTACTTTTCGCAGGGGCCGTCGAAATGGGGTAATTTAATTCCATGCCGTGTCTGTTTGAACCACCGTAACTACAGCAAATTCCATGAAGTGTTTAATTATCCGTTCGTTTGTCATCTGGAGTGTATCTGTTTTTAATCCCTCTTCTTAAATCAAAGCCCATTCAATTCCGACTTTTACTATGCTTTAATATATTCCGTGTTGTTTTCTCCTATTATGTTACATCTGGTAGTAGGAAAAATGCAAAAAGGGCAACATTGCGGAAAAAAAGCTATGTATAATACTCCTGTGAAAAACTGGCAGCTAAAAACTAACAAATACATACAAATCATCGAACCATAATGTTTATAAAAACTCTTTCAGTTTTATATATTTTTACTGTTACAAAACATGCAAGCAACTTCAAATGCTGTTTTTTGCGCTGCACTATGGGCCAGCAAACGATAAAAAGTGGCCAATATTCGAAATCGTATCGGAATGGCTTACAACTTGCTACAGTGAGTTTTTGCGGTCGGAGATTATGAATCTGAAGTTTGATTTCAAAAATTCAAAATGGCAGATCCAGTATGGCGGCCATTATTGTGTAAAGTATTCGGATTGGCTTGAAACTTGTTACTCAATGAATTTCGGGCTCACTGATCGCGAATTTGTAGTTAGATATAAAAAACTCAAAATGGTCTAGTCAGCCTACATAAAATGAAGTTTCCGAAGCCCACCAGAAGGAGGCTACACTGTGAATGTAACCTTCATTTTTTGGTATTTTTATCTTTTTATTTTTGTTTTTGTATATTTATAGTTTTTCTACCAATTACGAATGTAGACTTCACTGTTTTAATTTTTTATATTTCGCATTTTTTGTTTTTGTTTGGATATTTTTTTACGAATTACGAGCTTTCGTTTTTTTGTAGTTTTGTTTACTTTTGTTTTTTTTTTTTTTATATTTTTACTTTTGCCAATTCGGGCCTATTTTTATTTATTTTGTATTTTCCATTTTTTTGTTTCTTATATTTTTTATTTTTTTGCCAATTATGAATTTAGATTTGGTTTTGTGTTCTTGTTGTATGTTATTTGTTTTTGTTTTTCTTTGTTTTACTTTTTATTTTTTAAGGACTTTTTTTCAATTTCATTAAATTAATGTGGTTAAATGCTTCCCTCAGAAAAGAGAAAAAACAAAAACAATTTTAAATTTCAGTTTTGAAATAAAAAATAAAATTAAAGTGTGGAAAATAAAATTAAAGTGTGGAATTAATTATCTATAGGTAGTGATAAACACAAATATAGGATCGAACCAAAATCTCTCACGAGGTTACAGCGCCAGCGAAGAAGATGAATAGAATAAAAAAATGTCAAAATGTGCAAAATTGAGCAAACTCGTCTTAAATTGCATTTAATACACAATAGATTTCATTTTTTTTTTATGATTATACACAGAAGTACTACTAAACGACAACGATCCTAAAAATTAACGCCTGGCTCATTAAAAATGTCGTTTTATTTTAAGCAAAGGCTATTTTGTATTAGAATTTTATTTTTTTTTATATCATTGCATAATAAGATACAAAAGACATAAGGAAAATATTTATTATTTTCTGGAAAAAAAATTTTACTATACACCGGCCATGTATGTAAATTTCAAATACAAATATTTTAATCGAAATGAAATTGTGGGCGCAATATTGAGGCAATTGCTATAATATTTTACTAACAGTTACCTTAAATACTGCATATTTTAGCTATTAGCATAAAACATTAAAATTCAAAAGTTGACCTTTGGCCGTTTTTGAATGCCTTCTGACCCTCTGTGCGCTGCTCAGTACGCTTGCACAAATTATAAATACATAAATATGTGTGTGTATGCACTAAATAAACACTTATTGTTCTTTTAAACGTTGCTTCTTATTCTTATTTTAATTTTTTACAAATTTTCCAATTTTGCAGCTCATCACGCACTGAGCCACCGGATCTAGTTGGCATTATGCGCGTCACTGATGACATGATTGATTCATTGGTTTGTCCACCACCCCCGTCAGATCCGCCCGTAATGAGCGAGGAGATGATATCCGGTTTAATCGTACCGGCGCCAGGTTGGAGTAAGTAATATATACACACACCCACACACATATGTAGCATGCATGCGTGAGCGAAACACACACTTACATAAATGCATACAATAATAGCTATACAAACCTACTAAAACTCATGTTGTACCAAGCCCCAGCCAGCCATTCAGTTAGTTAGATTATGTGCGAAAGCTGACAGCAGTAGCTGAAGCAACGTGGCTTATTCGCTGCTTGCATAAATAGATTAAAAATATGTCAACTGTCAAAGTGCAATGAAGTTGCAATAAAATGACGCGCACACACAGCAGCATACTTTCCACAGCAGACGGTGGCGGTGAATTTGATGCGAGCTGCATCAACCTCGACACCATCAGAATGGCTGGGTGATTTTTGCCAGGCAACTGAGGCCGGGCTGTGACCCTTGATTGCGTTAAGTCCAGCAGTAATTCGCTGAAATTGCAAAAATGTATTCATTAAAATTTCAGTGAAACTGATGGTCAAAGTAGAATGGGGAATATGCTGTTTGTTGCTTGCCGTTTAAAAATCAATATTTTATTAGTAGACGGCTGGGAATACGATGAGGGGATACACATTCATACGCATGAATTTCGAAAAAGCAAATAACTAAATAATTTCGTCTTTGAATACTTGTAATTATATACACTCGGAGGTTTCCTGTCGAGGGACGACCGCTGTTAAAAAATTTATATTTTTAGTTTATTTTGCTTTCACCGCAATAAACTCACTATAGCAAAATACGTAATACGTAGACCTTAAAGTTGGTATTTCAGCTGATTAGCCAATCCCCAAATAGTAGGATGCTTCTACTTATTTCAGCATCTACATCATTTTTGTTGGTTAACTAATATATCATCTATGTTTAAGGCAATCCTTTAAACCTTAAAGATGTTGCCAACGGGGCTGTGGATTTTTGATACTGCAGGTGAATCCATCTTCTTTGTCACAATATATTCTTATACAACTATGCCCAGATTTATTCCGGAAATTTATTTACTAGCCTGATACCATGTCAATATCGTCTATGTCGGCCAGCAACTGTACTTTCGACATCTCTTATAATCTTTTTTGTGTCAGATTAAATAAAAAATATGAAAGGCTAACATCTCGACGCACTAATGAATCTTGATGACCACTGCGTTGCCACTAGAAAAAAACTGTTTCCTGCTAAATGTCCTATCAAAACAAACGAAAGTATACCACAGATTTTTATCCTAGAGGTTGTGAGCGTTTTACTGCCCGAAGCGGCTGTAAATTTTACCTTGGCGAACCGCCTTCTCTTTTCAAGCAAGTCGCGCGGCTTACCATCACTGACCAACTGCTCCTCCTCTTCAGGATCTCTAATGCCTAATCAAGCAAAGCGTCGCTTTTTTTAAACGACGAGGTTTCGCTAGCTGAAGCTTTATGAGTTTGGTATCGATGACACGCAGAGAAAATGTCATCAACAGGGGCTTTAAATTGAAATATTGTTTACTAAATTTTTATCAGGGTTTATTTAGTGTTAATTATAAAGGCTTAGACAAAATATCTATATATGATTGCTCAGTCATACGACTTACATAGTTAGGGCGATCTTAGGCAACTACAGAATCGAATTATATATAAAATGAAAGTGCGAGCTACATAGGTTATCGAAAATTATCAGATTCCAAATCGGAGAATCGGATAGAAGTTCTCAACCTATATATAACACTGTATAGCACTTTGCTGGGTATTATACCAAACCGATTTTTCTGAAGAGATTGAGTCATAATTAAAAAATTATTTTCCCCGTATTTCGAAGTTAGCCTCAGAAATCGAGATTTTGGGCTTCGAAGTTCGAAGTTGGACTTTTGGTAAAAAATTATTTTTAGTTATTGTATGTAAACACCTAAAAAGTAAAAATGTAGACGTACTCTGGTTTTTGCTCTTATTTAAATGGCATATAACTTTTTTTGTGCAAACTTATATTACAGGTGCTAAAAGGGATCAAAAATCAGTTCAATTTTTTTTTTAAATACAATTTTTTTAATTTTTCGAAGATCTGACCTTTGACCCTTTATAGCACCTGTAATATAAGTTTGCACAAAAAAAGTTATACACCATTTAAATAAGAGCAAAGGGCGGAGCGCGACTATATTTTTACGTTCCCACGACAGTCGGGCCTACGTAACCGGAACGACCCAGATTTATATCTGGCCAAGGACTGTCACTCCAGCAACACTCCCCAAAAAGTCTTTGGGGAATTTGTATGCTGCTACAACAACAACAACAACTATATTTTTAGGTTTTTTAGTTCTTTACATAAAATAATTAAAAATAATTGTTTACCAAAGGTCCAATTTCGAACTTCGATTTCGGCGGCTAGGTTCAAAAAACGAAGAAAGTACTTCTTTATTTATGAGTCTTCCCTCCTCTTCGAAAAAACATTGGTTTGATCCAATACTAGGAAACAAAGTTTATTTTGCCATATAGTATTATAAAGGTTTCGACAAAATATTTATTTAACTAACTACGAATACAATAATACAACATATGTTTTATGCCCGAGCGCACTTGTGCACAAGGGTGTTATAACTGTGTTCGCATAACGGTGGTTTGTGACAGCCAAAACGAATCGAGATAGATAAAGACATGTAGATATAGCCCAAATTGCTCAAAAAAAAAAAAAAGATAAGTCGATTAAGTCATGTCTGTCTGTCCGTCTGCCGGTCCGTCTGTGTACACGATAACTCGAGAAAACAGTATTATATTTCAAAAAATGCAAAAACTACGCTATTTCCGTAAATACTGGCTCCAAATTGCTGCAAGTGGGAGTGTGAAATAGAATTTTGACAGTTATGAAATTTTTGGAAAATGGGCGTGGCTTATGATTAAATGCTGTATCTCTGAAGTCGCCTTAGAAATCCCCACCAAACTCGGTGGAAACATTGCTTATAGTCTTACTAAGAGACCCGTTGCAAATTTTTTAAATCAGGCAAGAACCACGCCCGCCTCCTATACAACGGTAATTTACAGATATACGTAAACTGTGATAACTTAGTAACTACTTAATCGCACACTAAACTCAAAATCGATTTATGCAATGACCTCTTAGCAGAAATTTAAAATAAGGGAATTTTTTGGAAAATGGACTTAAGTAGCTAAAAATGCCAGTTTACTACATTTTATTATATTCCCTTAACTAGAAACAAGATTACAGACATTTTAGAATAAGCTCGGCCAAATACTAACATATTGTGTTAGCGCCAATATTATTAGTCTTGTAGATTAGCTAACAGCCATAATACTTATACCAGTGCTGAAGATAGGGTCTGCTGATTAAGACTTTAAAGAAAACGTATCCATCAAATGCAGCTTTTAGAAATCCAGATATACATATATACACATGTATGTAAGTAAATGTATTTATGTAAATAAATATAATTTCCTGTGTTTAGTTTGAATTATTTCTTCCATAAAAGCTACCTATCCCACTACTTGTATATTCTAATCAGTGACCCACTGAGCACGAATAAGATACTCACTTGTTTTTCCCAAGGGGCATATGTATAAGCAAAAACACGTTTTTCGGGTTCTTGCTCTAAATAATTATGGAATAATCACTCGTCCTGAATGCTGTCCAAAATATATGCTTTCTTTTCTAGAATTCTTGAAATGGCAACATTTAAAAACTTACCTATGTGTAATGCTTACGCACTTAAATATGTACATTTTCTTTCGCTTTCATTGCATTTTCGCATTGTGTTCTCTGATGTGTTTGGACTCATAAGAGGAAAATTGCGCAATTTTATATGGAAAGTAACAACTGAGACATTAAAATCTACTCGCAATGGAATTTAAATCAAATTGCAACGTTTTGAGTTGCGAACACGCTCGCTTTTGTTTGCTATTCAGCAATAACATTTGTAAAGCACACCTATGCAAGCCCACATATTTGCATAAGCAAGTGCTTATGTACTCAGAGAAGTGCAGCGAGTGTGATCAAACTGAGTATATCCCAACTCACCATCCATAATTTATTCTACTTATATGCATTCATACTTATTGAACGTCACATCCACCGTCAGGCAAAAGGTATCTATCATAATCATGCTTAACAATATGCCTGGAATGATTCACATGATTCCACTCATGCAAGGAGTATTGTAGATCAAAGTCGGTTGAACTGAGGATCAAACTTATTGAGGATGGTATGAGTATGATGAGGGCGTCATATTCGTATCTATGGCAACTTATACACATAAATCAATGTCGTTGTGCATATGCGTACATCAGAGTGGTGGCGTTTCCCTGATTTAGACGTACTTATATCCAAAATATGCTGAGTGGTGGGAAATATCAGAATAGGCACTCTTTGCTGATCACTATTATGTATGTACATCTGAATATGTTTACTTGGGTACATACAGTGGGGAGCAGAAATTAGTGCACGGTGATTTTTGTTACATATTTGCAAGGTTTTTAAAGTTGAAATTTTTTGTTTATTTTTTCATAAAATTATGGTTCCAATTTTTAACCAAAACCATTTAAATAAGGTTTTCAAACTTTATACAGGGCTTAGAAAAATTAAACAAATTTTCATTACAATTTTAAAGTTTTGTTTTGCTGGCGGCTTTTGCGATTTTTTCATACAACAAGTGCTATTTATAAGAACTAGCGTTGATTTTTTATTTCTTTGCACACCTTCCATAAATAATTCATTGTTATATGGAAAAAAGTGTAAAAAGCCGTCAGCAAAGAAATATTAAAAATCCACGAGATTTTGCAGGGGCTTAAAACTTGCATTTTTTTGTACTTTGTTTAGTGGGCCACCAAAGTGCATACTCGAAAAAAATTAGACTAAAAAGTTGAATTTTTAATGAAAATATTTCTAAGCTTTGAAAATTTGCTTTTTATGGTTTTGGTTAAAGCTGAACTATGTTTTTATGGAAAAATAACAAAGAAAAGAGCTTTAAAAACCTTCCAAATATTTAACAAGAATCACAGCGTACTCGTTACTACTCAAACTTGCTTCCAACTTTATAGGTTTACTTATTGCCATTTGTAGTATTTTTATATTTTTTTTTTACAATTTCGTTTAATGCAGAATAGCCATTAATGTACGTACCTACAAATGAATATATATGGCTATGTGGTAATCATCACTTAAATACAGTAATTAGTTTTGGCTCATATGCACTAGAAGTGGGACTTACACATGCATACGTACATGAAATACACCTGAAGCATTATAATTACTTTAGAGTGCAATTTATGTTGCATGTTGCCTGTTGCAACATCATTTCACCTGTGCCCTGGGTAGTGCTAGAATGCAACTTTCACCCTTTTACACGCTGTCGTTCCTGCCTTTTTTCCCATATATCTTCCGGCCAATAATTTTGCTTGCAACCACAACTACAGTGCATTATTTGGCGCTTTTTGAGGAGCTGCTCTTGTCCAAAAAGCATGTTGCATGCAACACTCAGTCCTCATTCGGTTTAGTTTGTTGCATGTCAGTTGGCGCTTAATACCGCTTAGTTACGCAGATACCAAAACTGCCACATTTCATCCCTAAGGAGTGCTTCTTAATGATGCCACAGCTCTTACTGCATACAGTATTGGCCAATACAATAGCACCCCTTTTCAAACTGTCATTGTTTGCCCCTCATGATTATTTATTTATTTTTAGGAATTCTCAATTAAAATACAGTCCATTCTCTAAAAAAAAAACTCATATAAACCCAAGCTTAAGACTTTTTAAAAGACTACAAAATAATGTAAACAAATTTTCACCCAAATTTCAAACTTTTTTCTCAGAAGTGCCAGAATTTTTCTGAGTACACAGTTTTGTGTAGCCCATTCAATTTTAGTCTAATAATAAGCAAGTTTCAAGTAGCTAAAACTACCATTGATTTTTTAGAATTTTTTTCGCCGAAGCTGTTGCGGGTTTCTTCCACATAAAATAAATTTTGTTTATTCGTTATATGGAACCGAATGCGACAAAAAAAAAATCTAAAAACTCAACGGTAGTTGTAGCCACGTGAAACTTGCAAATTATCAGACTAAAATTTAATAGGCTACACCAAACTGTGTGCTCAGAAAAATTCTGGCACTTCTGAGAAAAAAGTTTGAAATTTGTTGCAATATTTTACAGTCTTTTAACAAGTTGTATGCTTGGGTTTATATGAGTTTTGTTAGAGAATGAACTGTACTTTAAATGAAAATTCTTAAAAATAAATAATTAAACATAAGTGGCACACAATATCACTTTGAAAGGGAGGTGTAATAGATATGTCCACTACTGTAAGTATGTATGTACATTAGACTGCGCCTTATTTTGCAACTTTGTGCTACAAAGCAAGACTCCCCGCCAGAAAGGTTCATTTTGACCTGCGAAAAATTTTTAAAATCGGATAATGGAAAGACGTGCCTCAGAGGCCGTAAATTTCAGAAAATTCATGGAATTTTTCACAAAGCAGTCAATACTGCCTATAAGTCTGTAGGAAATTTAATACGTTTCGCCATTTTTCAACAATTTCTGTTGAAAATATGTAGCATATTTAAATACTAGCTTTGTAGCTTAACAAAAAATTGTCTCCATACAAGTAAGGCGTAGTCTAATATTCATACATGTATGTATCTTCTGACTACAACTCCATAACCAACTACCAAACTTAATACTTTGTCACTGTGTGGGGCACTCGTAAAATGCCCTACGTACTGACTTTTATAAGTGCATAGACGAGTGAAAGTATGCATTTGTTTAGGTGGATTTGTGGCATTCTTACAAGCGAGTAAATAAGCAAACCGTTCAACGTATAAGTATTTGTAATTTACGTTCATCGGTGTATAGTTTAACTTTATTATTTTACTTCTTTTGCGTGAGTATTTAAAAGTATGTAATAGTGCTGAGCCACAAAGGTTGCACTTGAGTTGCAGTACAAAAAAGGGGACTTCGAACGAAGATTGTTATGCAACTCGTTAGAGCGAATGGATGCGTGAATATTCAGCGGACATATGACATTTAAAAGAAAAACTTACTGTGGCGTTTTAGATTGAAATTTTATACAGTACTAATTGAGAACAAATACACAAAAGCTGGTTTAAGTGTCTTTTATGCGACTCCTTAAGGTATGCGTATGACATATGTAAATCTTTCATGTAAATGGGATTATAGCTGCAACCAAAAATTTAGGTAACTAATCAACAAAATTGGAAAAAATCATTCGAATTTTAAGGCTTTTGATGCTCCGAAAAGACCCCACATAGCACTGGCGAAACAGCTTTTTATTTTCTTACTTCCCTGAGAAATTTAATCGCCGGTTGCCCTTGATATATCGCCGAAAAGCGAGAACATTTACTTAATTTAGATTGGCAAAACAATTTCTATAGTATTTGTTAAATAATCGATTGCACGTCTTAGCCAGGGTGGGGTAGTGTCAGAAATAGTGTTCAATACTCTCTACATCCTCCTCGCCTTTTCAACTGCGACTGGATATCCTAACATCTTATCATGTGTGCCCATAAGGCGGTATTTCTGAAAACTACCCTTATATGAGAGGTGGGCGTGGTTGTCGTCCGATTTTGCCCGTTTTCTATACCATCCATACTACGCTGAAAAGAAGTACACATACCAAGTTTCGTTATGAGCAAATTTCACGAGCTGTTACATTTTGCAACAAAAACGTAGTTTTGGTCTAAAATGGTGGTACACCTATCTGAGAAAAGCCATTATCTTTAGTTTTGTGCGAAGAATGAATAGAATAGAATATGAAGTATTTAAATAAAAACTTAAAAAGGATGTACTAAAAAGTAAAAATAACAACCCGTGCTCATATACCCGTAGCTGCGTAACGTATACGCCCCGTAGCACGCTTACTCGCACACCTTAGCTTAAAAATCATATAATTTAAAGCAAGTAAATGTTGGCGTGGAATATTTTTTACGCATATAGAGCAATTTTAGAATGAATTTCGAGTGTGCCAATAAAAATTTAAAAAATGAAATTTTAGTTTCACAAATCATAGTCATCTCTTCTTCTTCTTATTTAGCGCTGTGACCTCCTTAGGTGATTTTGGCCGAGTTCAACAAAGCACGCCAGTCGTTTCTGTGCCAACTGGCGCCAATTGGAAATGCCAAGTGAAGCCAAGTCCTTCTCCACCTGATTTTTCCATCGCAGTGGGGGCCTTCCTTTTCCTCTGCTACCACCAGCGGGTTTCGAGATGAATACTTTCAAAGCTGGAGCGTCGGTGTCCATTCGAACGATATGGCCAAGCCAGCGGAGCCGCTGTGTTTTAATTCGCCGCATTATGTCCATATCGTTGTAAAGCTCATACAGCTCATCGTTCCATCGTCTGCGGTACTTGCCGTCGCTAAACAAACACTCCACTTCCACTTCTGCGCCATATAGCAGCACGGGCATGATGAATGACTTATAGAGCGTGGTTTTCGTACGTCGAGAGAGGACTTTACTCCTGAATTGCCTACTCAGTCCAAAGTAGCACTTGTTGGCAAGCAAGGCGTTGGATTTCAAGGCTCAAGTCATCTACTTTTTCAAACTTGTCTCTGTCAGCAGTGACGTGGTCGCCAAGGTATGAATGTGCTGACTGTTTGTTTGATGACAGGAGATACTTCGTCTTGTCCGCGTTTACCACCAGACCCATTCGCTTTGCTTCCCTATCCAACTTGGAAAAGGCAGAACAGACTTCGCGGTTTTTGATATCACTGATGTCGATGTCATCGGCATAAGCCAGCAATTGCACGCTCTTGTAGTAAATTGTTCCTGAGCGGTTCAGTTCAGCTCTTATTATCTTCTCCAACATCAAATTAAAGAAGTCACATGAAAGACAGTCATCGGGCATGCGTTCATCTGACCATATTCTGCATAAGAGTTGATGCATGCACCTTATCAACTCCTCGTCACCTTATTTGGATAGCTCAGCTGACAGGCTGTCAGCTCCAGCAGCAGTCATCTCTTACTCAATGTAATTTTTTTTTTCATTTGGTGGCACTCTAGTCTTATTCCTCTAGATTTGTTCGTTTTGGCAAGAAGAACATTCTCACCATTTAATTTTAACATTTTGAAGTATCTTAAATTATTAAAATTACAAACTCTTAAAATTTCAAAAATTACAAAATAGCTGCAACAGATATTCTGCATTTTTTTAATTTGGTGGCACACTCTTGAATCTTTACAGATATGTTCTATTTGATGCCAATTTCCATTGGCTCTAATGCGAACATTCTATTTAAAAACTTCCCAAAGTTATTAAAAAAAAAATACAATTATGATTTTTCCGAGTGACAATGAAAAAATTATTAATTTCGGTACTTGTTCGCCTAAATAAACGGTTTAAGACTAATGCCCTTATTCATAAAAAATACAGTAGGTTTAAAGAGCTTTATAAATTGACGTTTTCATACATTTTACAATCAATAAACCTTTTATAAAGCACTTTATGTTTTATGAATAAGGCCATAAAATTGTTCAAATACTTGATTTATTTTTTATTGTACTTGATTGACACTAAAAACACAGCTTGTGAGATTTGTTCATATATACATTGCAAAGCCTTTGACCAATCTCCTCCCTCAATTTATGAGAAGTGCTATTCACTTGCTAGGAATATCAATCTGTGTATCTCGAATGATAGTTAGCCCACCACCACACGGCATAATAAAGCTTTTTCTATTGTACAAAGTTAAACCACTGTGATATGTCTTCTTAATTTACGCAGATTTAAGGCACAGTAATCTTTTAACACTTGCACTACACAAAAACTTTACATACTCAGCATATATACATATGTACATACATAGTTGTTTATACATTGCACAGAGTTCCATGCAAGAGTTTGTGCAACTCTAAAGTGCATCTTTATGTATGTATGTACTTATGTACATACAAACAAACGCACCACAGTATGTTTATCTCTTCATTATGTGCATTTATTTGTGTGCTCATTTTTCTTCACAGATGGCACCGGTAAAGATTTATATTCACCTGAGGCCGAAAGCTCACCGGCACCATCATCCGTTGAGCCGACACCAGCACAAATGGTCGCAGCCGGCACCAAGCCGACCTCACGTACGAGCAGTTTCGAAATTGAGAATCTTCTAAAGACCGCAGAGCAGGTACGTGTAAGGGTAACGATCTCTACCACACATTCATACATTCATTCATACATTCATGTAAACATACATAAATACATATGTGCATAAACATGTGCCCAAATGCAAGCACACACACACACACACAAGTGCACTATGAAGGAGTATGTAGTTGCTGGCTGTCAGTAGAATGAACTTTCAACCGATGTCGACGCACATGTGTTGGAAAATTGAACGTAAAACTTAAGAGTTTAAAAACTAAAAAAAAAAACAGATCCTGAAATATAAAGTAAAATTAATCTGCAAGTTGTTCCACTTGTATGTGTGTTCATGTGTCAGCTGGCACTTGCAAACTTGCATTTTTTTTGTGTGTACATGCGCGTGTGATCATTTGGTGGATGGGTTCTGGTATGTGTGAAGTTGTCTTTAAGTGTTTGGTAATTGAGTGAAAAATGCATAAATATTAAATTTGCTCTAAATGCTTTATTGTGTTGTTACATTCTTTTTCATTACCTTAGTTTTCAAAATAATTTATTTGGTCATATGCATTCATTAGCACAGCATGTTTAGAATTTTCACGCCTTTCACTTAGAGCACAAGTAGTACTTGCATACATACGTATGGTCGTTTAAAGTACAAAAGCGCCAAAACGACATTTTTTGCCAAAAAAAATGGATTTGCTCATACAAGCTCTTGGCTCAATCCTTAGCCATTCACCCTGAAATATACTAGCCAGAAATGCGATCACTTTGTAAAAAAGAGAGAACCATTTTGAAATATGAACGTTTTTTTCTTTCTAGAAAATAATTTATGCAACCTCACATACGCGGTTTTGCATATTGTTGGTATGCGATTTTGTACTTTAAACGAGTTTTTTGCAAGCGAATTTTAGGGGAGAAGGTTTTTTGTTATTTCTCCCTTAAACAGTTTAATACGTACTTTACTTGTCTTTAACCCGTAATGGTCGCACTCGCTCCAGTAGACACTAGACATACTTTGGGGCTAAGTATTTATACAGATACTATTATAAATAGATTTTGTATGTTTAACTGTTGTTATAAGATTCGAATTCTACGTACATTTTTTTGTCTGGTGTCCACTGGACCCAGTGTGACCATAGAAGGGAAAAGTTAAAATTTACCCTGTCTAGCTTTGTCTCTATGTACATACATACAAAACGCACGCCATCATCAAAGCAGCTTGGCAGCTTTTACGCATAAATCATTTCGTAGAATTTAGCTCCAATTAATGCAAATATTTTTTTTTTTTTTTTGTATATTTTTGGGTCTTACTTTTGAGTTGTGCCTCTTTTGACGATGGTGTACGCTATGTACAGTGAGTGTCGATTGTATTGGACGTGATTAATGCAATGAATTTATTTTAAAAATATTTATTTTTAAAATTAATTTTTAATTTAACGCGAAATCTTTCCGCGCTTTTCTGTCAGCAAACATTTAGATGATGGATTCAAAGTCAATGGTACGAGCAAAAGATGACTCCAATTTCAAAGTTCCGATAGTTGTTAGTCTATTTCGGTTCCTCGTAGAACGCAATCAATTTTTAATTCGTGCTAATATACTGAGTGAGCGTTCGCCTTCAGCAACAATCGCTGGAATATTACTTGTTTAGGAGTTGGAAAGGAGGAAAATTTTTGGGCATCCTATATTTGCTTATTGCCTGTAAATGTTAAATTTTCCGAATAAAAATAATAGAAACGTCCATATCGTTAGTTTAGCAGAAGTATTCTGCTTGTTTTTGCAGAGTTTCTCCGCTTAACTCACGAGGATCCTTTAAGTAATTTGTCATTGCGTCTTCTTGATTTACTCCGTTTCTGTTGAAACATATCTGAAGAACTAAAATTTCCCGCTAGAGTTTTAAGATCTTTAAGCAAACTCTTTATGTTGGCAGCTTCCACATCAATCATGGCATCTCTAGCTTGTAAGTTTTTACGTCGATAATAAATTCGTATCAGAATTTTTGAGGCAAATAGAGGTCATCAAAATACATTCGAACGTTTCCATATACGGCTTAATATCCTTCACATATGATCTTGTCCCAGCGGTCAGTTTGAGTATTTCAATAGCTTCAAGAGACTTCTTAACCCCTGGAAGTACTAACCATGTTTCGTATCGTAGAATCGACGAAGTCTTGTTAAAACTCTACTGTTTTACAAATAAAAGTAAACAAAATGTTAAACATATTTTTAAACTTACAAATGTAATATTTAAACTTAACAATAAAACCACTTTCAGGCCCATAATGGAAGCGGCTCAAAAAAGTACTAAATTTTCTCTGGGACTTAACACACGAAATCAAAATATGGCAAAACGTAACAAATTATATTCGTACTAATATAAAAAACAGCAAATCTTTTATTTATAAAATCATTTTGCGCATGAGACACAAGTCTCAACTTTATTTCGATGAGCAGCAGGGAAGCCAACTCGTAAGGAACTCCCCGATTTGCGGAGAATTTCAGTTTGCGTGGGGAATCGGACCATTTTTTGTGGGGAATTAAGTGTAAAAAAATTGTAAGCTGAAATGTCACATCCGTCTTCGTGGAATGAGCCGTATGCAGTTTTGTAGCTCGATCAAATCAAGTATTTCAAATGGCTAATAATTACCGCATTTGCTTTCATATAACGAATAGACACAATCTATTTTCTATTAAGAAAATCGCAATACCTTCGGTACAAAAAGCCGCAAACGAAAATGTTTACGCACTTGAAACATGCACTTTTTTATACTAGAATTGAGTGGGCCACAAAACCGCGTACTCAAAATTTTTCTAGAAAATCTAATGTTTGTTGATTTTTTCAAATTTGGCACAAAGTTCGAAACTTGGATTTAAACGGTTTTTGCTAAAGAATGAACAGAATTTTTATAAAAAAATAAACCAAATTAAATAACAAAAAAAAAGTAATAATAATTGTGAAAACTAGTCATAATTTGGTGCGACCAATTTTTTTTTCGGCCACATATCAGATTTTTGCATTCTTTATAAATGTTTGGTTTGCTTTATGAATACATAGATGAATTACATTTTTAAAATAAAATAAACAGAAAGACCGGAAATATATTAAAATATATTTTTTCCCGTAAATAAGGCGATGGGGAATTTTACGAAATTTCAGGCAAAACCGGTGAATTTCGCTGTTAAAATCGGGAGCACATTAAATCTGACCGCAACGCAGTAAAGAGAAAATAAGTAAAATGGGATTGACAGTCATCGAATCGACAAAAATTAGTACTCTACGGTTAATATCAGGAAGACGAGCTGCAACATTTTCTATACAAATGACTATATCACAGCAAAGAGTTTGGGACATACTGTGAAATGAGTAGCCAATATTTTCTTGTAAAATCGACCACATTTCAAGACTGCAGCTGAATAATGTATAGTTTTGCACAACTCCAAAGAATGTGAAAACTTCTGAGCAGCAAGCATTCAATGCAAATAAAGTAGAGTTTTCATAAAAAGTTCGACAAAGTCTGAGAATATCAGTTTTTTCAGCCGGGCCCAGGGCAATTGACTCCGCTAACCTCCCCCCTTGACGGGCCTGTGCATAGGACGCCATGTGACCATCTTCTATGTCTAATTCTAAGAGGGACAAAGTTAAAACAGATGTTAAGACATATTTAGTAGGAAATGGAGACTTGGGGTAACGAAACGCATTGCATTCATACTGTTGTACTCATTGCTGTTACTTAGAGCAGATATGCTCAATCAATCAATCGCATTATTATCATCTCGTCTGAGTAACTCATACGCCAAGTACACAAGTTCGATTTTAGCTTTTTCGTTTTAAATTTTAGATCCAATATGAATCCGAAACTCTGAATTTTTAAAATATTATTTCAGATTCGTAATCAGCGACCTGAGCAACCCACGATTGTAAAGTTTTAGGCGAATGTAATCGATTTATTGGGTCCACAATTTTGAAATTTTTCAATCTGATTTTAGAGTCGTAATTAGCGAAACGTTTCAGGCGAATCTGATTGATTTTAATTTTTTAGCCGCCATTTTGAATTTTTTAAAGCGGACTCCAGATTCGTAATCAGCGACGCCATAAAAACCTGCTTTTAGTGTTGGGTTCTCCAGTTGCATTTAGTTTATGCGTCATAGTTGGGAGGCCATCTTGGGTTTTCCAAAAAAAAAAAACACGTTCCAAGAAAAAGGCAACAATAGTAAAGCTGCAAAATTAAACCCTATTGCTTTATTTTTCGGTAAGAAATGTCTGCGCTCCAAATCCAATTTCAGTATATTTAAAATTGTTTAATGCTTAACTTTTGCTTAATATGTTTTTCGTAAAAACTCACTAAGAACTATTTGATGTAGCCGTATAGTGTCTACGTGAAAGTATAAAATACAAAAGGAATCCTTTGTTATAGCCAATCCTTGTACCGGTTTCAAAGACCAATCCTCAACACACAATGAAAATATGGCGCACACAACAAACACACACTCAAAGAAAACAAAGTACACAGGACATGAAGGATTAAGTATCCCTTTCGCCACACTCTTAAGGTTATTTGTCGTATATTCTCAAGCGTTGCACGCTAACAAAATGCATCTTACTTCAAGCAGTCTTTAAAAATTCTTCTCCTCAATAGCTGCCAAGAATAAAAGTAAAAAAAAAAAACAACGCATATCCATTCAAAGCCATAATGAAATAATAACAAGAATAGCGTTGCCATCTACGTTGTCACCATTTTCACAGGCTAGTAAGCGGGGAAAATAAATTTACAAAAGTGGCACTAAATTTGCCACAGCGTCAACGAAATGTCAAAAGGCTATACAAACAGACCGGCACACGCACACGCACACGCAAACCAAACACACAACCAAATACAAAAACACACACACACACATACATACCCTGCAGCAAAATTTAGGGACAGTCTGGCAAAGCGCTAGTTCCGCCCCACAAATTTCAGAACTGTCTCTGAACTACTGCAAAAGGGATGCAGAGCTGGACGGTTGAAANCATACATGCATACATACATACATGACGCAACGTAGA